TTATATATATATATATATTTAGATGTTTTTTGTAGCACTGCGCTAACTAAAATTGTATCCCCAGTGCAGATAAAGTTAATTAACTATCTACATCATATTCTTATTGAGACCTTTTAATTCGCCGCTACGTATGCAAAGTGTTTCCACTCAGCATTTGCTACTTTTTGCTAATGTGGACGTTTTGGCAAAAGAGTCATACATTCCCCATAATTATATTCCTGTCTTAAATAAGAAGGAGTCTTGCTAAAACTTTTAATTATAACCGTATAAGTAAAAACGAAACGCAGCACAATTGCCTGGTGAATAACGTAAGGATTCAAACTCAATTTTATTTAATCACATCCCTGTAAGATCTGCTCATAAATTAGTTACCATTAATATTACAACTTCAGGATCAGCTAGTGATAGATTATTTTTCTTGATTTTTTTCTATTTATCCAACTACTTAATTTAATTGTTCCTCCATCTAGTTATCCTTTCCTCTAACTATTTTTATTTTCCTTGTGATCTCACTCGATTGTACATTTTTGTAAATCAAAACATAGCTTTTTTCAGATTATACCTGGATTTTTTCTCTTATCTATTGCTACAAATCATCTTCTACAATTTTCGTCAAAGGCCTTTCAAAACAGCCTCTACATTATTGATCCTAATTTTTCCATTAAAATATCAATTTCAGCCTTTTATTAAGATCATTACATTTAATTCTCATTTTCTTATCTGTTTAATATTTCATCTTGTAATTCATCATATTTCATAGATGCTCAAGAGTTATTTTTGCACTTATATCTGGTTCTTTGTTATTTGTTGCACGAGAGCGATTCTTTCGGTTGTACCGATAAGAGTATTTGGTCTAATTTGTTGTACTTTACATCAAACTGGCATCTCTTATGTAGTGAAGCTTCTGGAAAGGCCTGTGTTCAATCATTTTAGGTTTCTTAACATTTTCCTTTCCGTTCTGGAGTTGCTCAAAGATTTTCGATAACTAAGCTGGCTCTCTGAAGCGATTTTCGGTAATGGCAAATTGCTTCTTTTTATTCATCCTCTTTTGAAATGGATTGAGGCATGCTTGCATGCAACCCCAACATTGATGCCCCAAATCTGAGCTTTCTAAGCGTCTTTCCTATTTTCCAGCCGTCCGTCTCCTCACCTGGGTTATCTCTTGCTCCTGCCGGGCTCGGCCATTTGACCGCCTTCCACACGGGTCTCGGCTGCCCAACACATTGCGGCGCTCCTCCCGGCAGCCTTGTCGGCCTACCGTTGAGTCTTTCCACAGCCACCCTCAACGGGTCTCCGGGCGGTGCGGGTTCAACGGCATTGATGGCTCCCCTTGGCCTCGGACTGACCGGCTCCCCGATCATCAGGCACACCACTGCCTGCAGTGGCTCTGGCGGTGTTAGTGTCGGTGTTGGTGGTGCCACCGGCGCTGGTGGTGGTTGCGGTGCCAGTGTTGGCGGCAATGCTGCTGGGAACGGGAACGGTTGGTGCCTTTTTGTCTATAACCTAGCTCCTGATACAGAAGAGGCGACTCTTTGGCGTTTGTTTGGCCCGTTTGGAGCCGTTCGTTCTGTCAAACTGGCTCGTGAATCGCCGAGCAGCAACGGTGGCCTTGGCAACGGAGCAAATGGAGGTGGCAACGGGTCTCTAGTCTCTGGGGCTGGTAAATGCCGTGGATTCGGCTTCATCACGATGACCAACTACGCTGAGGCCAGTTACGCTATTCAAAATCTGAACGGGTGTGTGCACTTTTATACTTTTTCTCTACCATTTTTTTGTATTTGATTGGGATTTGCATCTTCCATTTAAACAACAAATCTAACCCTCATTTCGACACTAATGCAATATAGGGAGATTTAGGATTGATCGTTGAATTTTTCCCACAATTATATGAGTAGGCCACGCGTTTCCATTTGATTCTATCTAGGATTTATTCCCAAAAAGTATATGAGTGCCTAAATCTTCTTATTTGGCCCAGGGGAATGGAACTCTTATTCAAGATTGACTGATCGTTGCGAAACCTACTCTTAATGAATGTAGCTGTAAGTAGTCAAAAGACTTGTCTTTAATCATCAGGAATTGATAATCCTTTTTTCACTATCACTCATTTTGTCAAATGCTGGGTATACCTAGTTGATGAGATTTCTGTGTGTACTCATAAATCTGGACAGCCTGCTCGTAACTCTAGCCAAAACCAGTAAAGTTCACTTTAGTTACCTTCTTTTATGGACGAATCAACACACTTTCCTTCTTAAAGCCTATCAACTAAGCATGAGTAGTTCCTACTTAACTTCATGCATGCATTCCTGGCAGCCATTGTATTTTCTGACCTGCTGATTTCGGTGGCCGGTCTACCTGTTCGCCTGGCAGAAACAGATATGTTTTAGCCTGATGTGATTTGATTCCCTTAAGATGACTAAAACCATAGGCCCTATCCTGACAGACTTAGAAAGATTGAAGGCAGACACGTTTAGTGCTGAGGTTGTATGCTTGTCGGTCGGTTAGCAATAAAGTGGTAAATTTTGTATGTGGGCAC